AATGGGGAAGAAATTTATGCATATAATCGTATCTATATGCAAAAATATTTCTGGGAGAATACTCAAGAAAATGATAGCATTAATTATGTTTAGGAATGGGAGTGGTGTTTGAGGCCAGGAATTCCAGGGACATTTTTCACTCTACTCTTATATATCTTTTAAATTTTGAACTCTGTGAATGTATTAACCATTCCGAAATAAAATGTTAAAGGATATTATTTTTCATACCAATAAAAGAGGACTTAAAAATACACTATACTTTGCATAACACAAAAATTGTAGGAGAATCTACTTCAACATCCTATAACACTGGAACAATATTTCCTGAAACAATTGAAGTTGGTTCAGGAAATAGTATGTTATCATATAGAACAAGTTTTTAATGCCAAAGAATTCATTCATTTTGAAGGCCCATGCCCTCTGAACTTTTATGTGATGCTATTTAGAAATTTCCTCAACTCCTTATTTTATGTGAGATCCAGCTGTGGCAGCCAAGGTATTTTTCAGAATGTAACCCCCAAGGTAGGCAGGGATTAGGGCACAGAGCAACTTACAAGAGCTATACGTGAAGGAAACTGCAGTCTGGGAGAAAAACGTTTTTCTGGAATAGCAGTTTGACTGTAAGTCAAACGAAAGAAGATTACATGAGAGTACATTAACATTTAGAAGAAATAACTTGTTGTGTACCTAAAAACTACTGAAAACTCCTAAGATTCATAATTCACTGTATTGTCGCCTAATACATGTTTAGATTTGAAAGAGATGTATAACATAGTAATTAAGAATATGGACTTAGGTATTTGACTAAATTGGACTGTAGCCCCTATGGCTTTTAGGCAAGTTACTTAATATCTTTAAGCAAAGCCCATTTTATAAAATGGAAATAACATCTACATCACGTCAAATAATGAATAAGCATTGTGTCAATGCACACTGTGTTCAGTAGTGGCACATTGTGTTCAGTAGTTAGTAGTTGCAATAACAACAGCATCAGCCAGTGCAGCAATAAAGTAAAAACAACTCCAGAAAATCACTGTACACACTGTTTAAAGAGGCAAAATTGACTTGCCCACGTATCACGGTTGGAAAGAGAGAGTTGGCACGAGAACTTAGGTTTATTTTGGCAGATTCTTATTAGCTCAAAATTCTTGATATACTTCTCTCGCTTCTCTCTAAGCAGGCCCCTGTAGATTTTTTTCCCTGTTATAATTTGGTTTACATACATCAGAAATACAAGTTAATAAATGTTCAGTTTAGAAAACTTTGAAAAACAGGAGCTCAAAAGAAAAAAATAAACTCATTCCTTAAGATAATTGCCAAGTAAAATATTTGGACATACATATAAAAAATATTATTTGTTTATCTCAAATTCAAATTTAGCTGGGCATCTGGTATTTTTATTTGCCACATGTGGTAACCACACTCCAACAAGAACTGCTAGTGAGTATTATAGCATATATGTTAGATCTTATGTTATTTTATAAACAACTATATTTGTAATATATTTTTATATATACAACAGGGGCTTTATACTAAGATTAACTATATATTTACCTAAGTTTACCATTGTATTTTTAGTTAACTTTTCTTCAACGGTCTCACTTTTATATTGTAATGTTTATCTGTCAGGAATTTTTTGTATGTACATTGTTAGATGTGGGTATTAGCTTTTTCCCCTAAATGGTTAATTACTTGCCATAAAACAATATATATTGAATTTTTTACTTTTTCTTATTTAGTTAAATTTAGTGATTATAATATTATAATTTAGCCATTATAGTAGTCTCAATTATTAATTATACTTTGTTCTTTTTCCACCTGGTTTAATTTCTTATCTTTATTTTAATTAATATTTGTAGCTTTCTTATTGTATATTAACATACATTGTAATTTACTGTAATCTATGAAAATTAATTCTTTAACAAAATAATCAAGGTACACATTATAAAGTAAATGCTAACTCACAAGCACTATATAACCAGCATGTTTAAAATGAAATTCGTGTTCTTTTTACTAAATCTTGATCTCTCTTTTGTTCTTCTACTCAATCCTTGATGATACTATTCCAGCCAAACAAAATCCTGTTTCCCTAGGGATTCTTTCCTGACCTCTACATCCAAACAACCCCCAGGCTCTTCTTATAATATATCCTAAATATTTCTGAAATCTTTTTCCTTTTCTTAACCCTCAGTACTATTGGGTGAATTTATACCATCATCTCTGGGCTTGCTGGACCAATGCATTTTCCAAATAGTTGCCAGAATGGTCTATTTAAAGCTCCTCTCTGACATTTCTCTCTATCTGTTGGGTTTCCGTGTGTTCAGAGCCAGTCCTCCTCAGCTCCCTCTACAAGCTCCACTAGTCCTCAGTGGAATTCCATCCACGTTCTTCCTCTGATGGCTGCCAAAGTTCCGGCCTGTCTACTAGCCTCATCTCTAAGTTGTTCCGTAACTCTTGCAGGAGTTCGAAACCCTTTCATGTTCCTCCTTTGCCCGTCCCTTCCCTGTGACACGTGCACACTCATACACAATCCATTTTATGCATTCATGCCTTTCCCCCAGCATGCCACCACTGCCCTTTCTCTGGCTACCTCCTGTCTGTGTCAGAGACAACTGCCTGCTCAATATTCCTCTCTACTTCTCCCTTACTCATGGACCTTGATTTCATTGTGTAGCAATGTAGGAGTAGGCACTGGATGTAAATGGTAGTCATTGCTGGGCCTGCCAGGAAAGCTTCCTTATAGGACCCTTTTACCCTGACTCTCCCTTCCTGTCTTCTTTCTTGTAGTACAGACACTATGGCTGAAACTCTACGAATCTTCTTGGACCTCACAAGGACTTTGAAGGTTGTCATATAAGAGACACTGACATACACATATACACACATTACTAGTACACACAGTGTAGAGGTAAAATACACTTTATTCAGAACAATTTAGAAGCAGGGAAGCAGTGGAGCCTTTCACTTACTCCATAAAGCACATGCTTACTAGCAGTACTATAAACTTCAGGCTGTATTATACCTTGAGTCCATTTAAATTTTTTTGTTGGTTCCAGTTTCACATCCATTTTGGAGAGAGCGATACTTTTGGTATCCTAACGTTATGAAGACTATTTTCAAAATATGCCATTGACATATATGACACGATTCCTCAAGATACAGGATTACGTCATGCTAACTATTTGATACTGCATAGAAGAATTCTTAGTTTTTGCTTGCCAGTGTTGAATATGTTTCGAGCTAATATTCAGCTTATTTCAAACCTTAGTAATTGCTGCTAATTTGCTGTCTAGAATTGCTTTGTGTCTTAGTAAAGGGGGTATTTTATTTGTGGCTCGTTTCTTGGGAGGTGTCCCTTCGTAAACTACATACTTTGTCAGTAAAGTACAGTAAGTGGTTTTTCTCATCTTCAAATTTTCAGCTGTAGAAATTGACACATTATGTCCTTATTTTTGTCTTCTTTATGTATGTTTTTTCAAAGTAAAATATGTTTGATTTTACAGACAGTGGCTCTTGATGGAACACTATCTTTAAAATCTGGGGTGATCTCTGGAGCATCAAGTAACTTAAAAAACAAGGCTAGATGCTGGGATGTGAAAGAGTTAACGAATCTAAGAGTCAGAAGAAGCCAGCTAATCCAAGAGCTGAAGGTAAATCCATGTCGTAAAAGTTACAAAATACTTGTGGAATAAGGGAGTGTGTTTTTAAACCAGGTTGAGTTTTTTGGTAATAAAAGTAGCATGCCTATCATTTTAAAATACTCAAATGGTGCATACTGGAATACAGTAAAAAATAAAAATTATTTATCAGTCGTATTTGCTAAACACAATTTGATGCTTAGCCTCCTGAAGTGTTCTCTTTATATGCAAGTATATGTATTTTCCTATTTCCATTGTTTTAAAAAATATTTTTGCTGTAAATATGTTTGCAACAAGCTTTTTCATTTAATGCCATAAAATGACATGTTTTAATTTTCATATACAGAATTTTACTTTATTTGTTAATGAATTCTTCCTGGTATTTTATTTTTTAGATGTTATTTATTTAAACAGTCTCCTATTGATTTGTTTTTTGCTGTTCCAAATGGTGCAATATTAGACGTTTTTCAGAGATGGAGAATAACGTCGTATCTAAGAGTATAAATCCTATAACCGAGCTGCCTTGGTTTGAATCCTGACTCTGCCACTCACTAGTGGTATGAGATTGAGCAAGTTCCTCTTTGTACCTTAGATGTCCCAACTGTAAAATGGGGACAATAAAAGTACCTACAATTTACTGTTATTATATGGAATACATCAAATAATTTATATAAAATACTTAACATAATTCCTGGCATATCAAGCACTATATAAATGTATGTTGTTCTTATATCTTTATTTGCATAAATCTATCTCTGACATGAATTTCAATAAGTGGAATATCTGGGTCTAAAAATATGTGTATTTAAAATGTTGGTAGACAGTTCTATTAACTCAGCTGGTTAGACTGCAATGTTATAACCCCAAGGTCAAGGGTTCTATCCCTGTACAAGTCAGCCACCAAAAAATATAGAAATAAATAAAATATTGATAGATATTGCTAAATTCTCATCAAAAGAAAACCTGTAGTAGAGTGTGCATGTCCCTACATTGCAGCACTGGGTAATAGCAAATATTTTAATTTTTGTCAATCTGATTGATAGAAAACTGTAGTCTAGCTTGATATTCATTTCTTAAATTATAACAGGTTGAACATTTCCTCATGTATCTATTGTTTCCTTGTAAGTTTTTCTTCTGTGAACTGTGTGTTTATTTTCTGTGCACATTTTTCTATTAGGTTGTTTGTTATTTTATTACCTATTTTAAGTTATTTGTATAATGAGTAAATGACTCCTTAGTCATATACTCTTATGTTATAAATTTTCTATGTTTGACTTTTTTATTGGCTTTATTAGGGTATAATGAGGAAACACCTATTTTAAGTGTGGAATTGAATACATTTTGACAAATCTATGTCATTATGTAACCACAACCACAATCATGATGTAGCTCATTTCCACTACCCCACCCCCACACACAATCCCATTTTTGTGCTCCTTTACACTCAGTCCCCTCCCCTAGACCCCTTAGGCCCTGGCAACCCAATCTTTCTGTCATTACAGTTTTTCCTCTTCTAGGCTTTCACTTGAATGGAATCATCCAGTAAGAAGTTTTTGCCCATGCTTTCTCTACCTAGCCTAATGTTATTGATACTCATGTTGTGTGCATATCAACAGTTTATTCCTATTTATTGCCAAGTATCTGTTTGACACTTGACTTTATTCTTTTTTGTTATACATATGTTTTTCATCTTTATGTAGCCAAATTTATTAATCTGTTATAACTTCTGAATCTTGTAATGTATCATGCTTAGAGAGATGTAATTATTTCTTAAGCTCACAAAAGGAAGTCAATAATGCTTCCTTCTAGTGCTTTTGTGTATTTAACATTTGCGTTATTTTTTTTTTTTTTCTTTTCCTGTGGAATTTATTTTCATGACTTGGGACCAGCATATTTTTACCAATTGACTAGAAATTTTATAAAAGTACCACTTGTTGAATATTCTAAACGCCCCCACATACTTGAAATGTCAACTTTAGATACTAAATTGATAGCATGCTTCCAAATTATTTGTTTTTCCTATTTAGCTTTCTTTTTTTGTGTATACAAATTACAAGTCTCTGATTCAACTATTGAATCAAAAACTAGACTTTTGGCAAGGTTACTTAACATCTTTTCATCTTTTTCTGTAAGCATAAGACCACACTTTATGTGTTAGTCTAAGATATAGCAATGTACAGCTTTTCCAAATTTTACAAATTTAGTTCTAGGCACAGAGAAAGTTCTGGAAAGATGGTAACTTGAAATGAATCTTGTGACCTATCCATGTCCATATTAAGTTCCTACCTGATTTTTGTTTGTTTGTTTGTCTGTTTGTTTTAATTTACTTTTTCTTTATTATACATACATGTGGGGTACAACGTTGATTTTCAATAATTGTGTAGAATGTGTGGTGGTTGGATCAATATAGTTAGCTTACTCGTCATTAAAATATGCACTCATCCTTTGTGTCCATTGAACAATTCCTCATTAGCCCCCTTCCTTTTCCCCTCCCCTCCCCTTTTCCACTTACAGTTTTCTAAAAGTTCAATGTAATACCGTGATTGTTGTTTCTTTTTTTCTTTCTTTCTGCCTCTATTTATTGTTCATTTGTTTATTTATGGATTCAGCTCCCAGCTATGAGAGTGGTATTTCTCTTTCTGTACTTGGGGTGTTTCACTTAGGATAATTTTCTACAGGCTCATCCATGTTGTTGCTAACGGCAGAAGTTCATTCTTTTTATGGCTGAGTAGTATTCCAATGTTTATATACACCACAAATTCCTTATCCAGGCATCTAGCTATGGACATATAGGTTGGTTTTATTGCCTAGCTATTTTAAATAGAGCTGCAATAAACATGGGAGTGCAGGTATCCCTTTGACCTGATGTTTTACAAACCTCTGGGTGTATCCAGAGGAATGGGATTGCTGAATCATATGGAAGTTCTCTCTGCAGTTGTTTGAGGAACCTCCATACTGTTCTCCATAATGGTTGTACTAATTTACAGTCCCAGCAGCAGTGTAGGATGGTTCCCATTTCTCCACATCCTTGCCAGCGATTGTTCTTCACTGTCTTTTTGATAATAGCCAGTCTAACTGGGGTGAGGTGATATCTCAGTGTGGTTTTGATTTGTGTTTCCCTGATGATTAGTTCTCTTTTGCATTTTTTCATATACCTGTTGGCCATTTGTATGTCTTCCTTTGAGAAATGTCTATTCAGCTCCTTTGCCCATTTTTTAATTGGATGGTTGTTTCCTGAAAAGTTGTCTGAGCTCTTTACATATTCTGTATATTAGTCCCTTGTCAGTTACATAGCGACAAATATTTTCTCCCATTGTGTAGGATGTCTTTTCCCTCTATTGCTTTCTTTGCTATGCAGAATCTGTTTAGTTTGATATAATCCCATTTGTTTATTTTTTCTTCTGTTGCCTGTGCTTTTGGTGTGTTATTCATAAAGTCATTGCCCAGTCCTAAATCTTGGAGCATTTCCCCTAAGTTTTCTGGAAGGACTTTAAAGTTTCAGGCCTTATATTTAGGTCTCCAATCCATTTTGAGTCAATTTTGGTATATGGTGAAAGGTACAGATCGAGTTTCATTCTTCTACAAATGGATATTCAGTTTTCCCAGCAGCATTTATTGAAGAAATAGTCTTTTCCCCAATGTATATCCTTGGGGCCTCGGTCAAAGATCAGTTGGCTGTAAATATGTGGGTTGATTTTTGAGTTCTCTATACTGTTCCACTGGTGCACGTGTCTGTTTCTATGCCAGTACCATGCTATATTACAGATTGGTAATATAGTTTGAAGTCAAGAAACTTAATGCCTCCAGCTTTACGTTTTTCTTCATGATTGCTTTGGCTATTTCGGGTCTTTTGTTGTTCCATATGAATGTTAGATGTGTGTCTCATCTGAACCAAGTGACAGGTGGTTAGGAATGATATCTTGGGTTCTGGGGAGGCTGCTCGGAAAAGCTGATGCAGGGCTTCCTTCTCTTCATCTGTAAAAAGCACCTTGGGAAGAATCAGGACATGGGGATCCTAATGGTAAGTTAAATTTGCCCCAGGTGGGTATGGTTGGTCTTGAATCCTAGGAAGCAAATTATTTGCTGAACAGGTAGGTTGTGGGGCTGCTACTCTTCAGGGTGCTTTAATACCCGAACCTGACCCTCAGTGGGCAAAAAATACATAAAAGGATCGGAGGTGTTCCAGGAGCCAGGCAACAACTTGAATAAAAAAATAAATAAATAATAAAGGAACTTTAAGGAGATTTAGTATAGTTTGACCCTCACCCTAACCACTCTTGGCTTAAAAAAAAAAAAAAAAAAAAAACGAAGAAGAAGAATAAACACCTGGAACTAAAAATATTTCTTAGCTACAGAATGAAATAGATGAATTGAAGGATTGAAGGACAGGATTCACGTTGCTGACAACTAGTTTAGCAACCTGAGAGACCAAATGGAAGAAGCATCTCAATGAAGGGAACAAAATTGCAACGATAACGAAATCATGAAGTAAAGATATCTGCTGATAGAGACTTAGCGGATAGACTTGCGGAACTTGACTTGAGAATATTAAAATCCCAGAAGGTTGAAAAGGATCAGAGAGGACGGTAACATATTTTTTAAAAATTCCCCAATTTGAGAATGAACCTTAATATACCATTGACAGGACACACTCAGTCCCATGTAGGTTTGGTGAGAAAAAGCCCACCATAATGAAGATCTTCGTGTAATTCGTGATTGCGTAAGTTATAGAATCAGTGCTAAACAACCCTCCCTCACACTTTTCAAAAAAAAAATTATACATAAAAAAATCAAGCTTATAGACTACAGAACTTGTTAGTACTGTGGAATAATAGCCACAGGAAAAAGGATTATAGCCCAGGATACCATTAAACTTTTAGGAATCTGCAGACAAACAGATTCAGAGACAATGTCATTTACATACTCCATGTGACAAAGATACTAGAGAAAGTACTCTAAGCACAACATGAATTAAATTAGACCTAATTATAATAAATTAATAGTGCTAAACT